AGTGCTAGCTATATGTCAACCACGGCCCACAATGTCTAAACCTCTGTGGAATAAACCTCCACTGAAAGCTGATGAAGTGCAGACAAAGGGTTATATATAATTGATCTAAAGCTCCATAGACCTGTTTTAAGCCGCTTTCTATATAGCCCTCTGCCTGGAATTTGTGATTCCAAGCAAAACACTAAAGTCACAGGACTGCGCGTGGGAGATCCATTAGGCTGTGTGAGGATGCATTTGAGAGTGAATTTTCCACGAGGGTTGCCTGCGCCCTTTTCCTTCCGATCTGCTCTCCGATGGAATATTCCCTCATGTACTTGCAGCCGGGGACAGAGTGCGTGAGTCAAGTTCTAACCCAGGCTTCACCTTTTCTCCTGCCACTTGGTGTCACGAGCTGCAGAATTTCTAAGTTTGTGCTCCTGCCCTGCTGCCGGGGCTGGATGAGTTCCCTCCACCTTCTTCAGTTTGCTGCCTCCTTCTTTCCCACAAGTTCAGGCTCCTCATGGGACTTTCTGTGATGCCTGATTTGATTTAGAGCTTGCTGTTGACAGTGTGTCCAGAGGAGGAGGTTATAATTGTCCTTATTATACCACTCCAAATCTTTGCCTTTAGTTCTTCCTCCACTACCTGACATTGTCAAAGATGAAGTCATTGTCTACTTCATTTTTTTTTCTTTTTCTGAAGAAAACCTTGATTCTATCCAGATGCTTGCCCCTTCTCCATGCAGTCCGCCTGACTCCAGAGAGCCCCTTTCCATCCCAAGGAAAAGACCCGATTCTGACTGTGTAAGTCAGTTTCTCTCAACTAGGGGTCAGCTTGCCTCCAGAGAGGATTTGGCAACAGATGGGCATATATTAGGTTGTCACAATGGATTTGCTACTGACATCTTATGATAGACTAAAGTCTTCTCTCCACCTCATTTCCTGTTCCAGTAAAGATTCATCTGGTACCAAATTTGAGGTTTGAGACTCCCTTGTTCAAGGCAATTGTTGAGAGACAATTGTGGGATATTTGTACACTGTGTGAAGATGTGTCGCTGTGATTGGTTTAATAAAGAGCTGAATGGCCAATAGCTAGGCAGGAGAGACTAGGCAGGACTTCTGGGGAGAGAGGACTCTGGGAAAAAGGAAGGTGGAATTGTCAGCCAGACACTGAGGAAGCAGGATGGGAAATACAGAGGTGAGGAAACACCACGTGGCACAATGTAGATTAAAATAAATGGGCTAATTTAAGTTAGAAGAGCTAGTTGAGAACAAGCTAAGGCTGAGCTTTCACAATTAATAATCTCTCTGTGTCGTTATTTGTGAGCTGGCAGCCCGATGAAGAGCCTGACTACAAGAGACTTTGTTTTCCTACTGGTCATGGGCTAGGACTGAATATGTGTCCAACAGAACTGGTCAGACCAAAGTGAGGGACTTTGGTCTGATCAAATACTCTGTGATTAGGAGAGAAATAAATGACGAGAGTGGGAAGTTAACTGTGGTCACTTCGAGGTTACAAATGGCCTTTACCTTGTAACAGAGCATGGCATGGCATGATTCAAAAGGAGAGCTGGTCCGCTGCACAACCTGTAGGCTGGACGGGTAGTGAGCAGGACACAGTAGTCAGCCAACCATGGGCCTGCTAGTGAAGCTTTCAAGCGAGGTGACCTGGTGTGAAGTCCTCTCTATCCTTGAGTAGTTAGTCCCATCCCTCATGACCTAGAAGGGACTCAAGAATCGTTTGTGTTCTTTGTATTGAACAGTTGTATGATAGCTGTTTTCTGGAATATAACAGATGGCAGGGCTTTGATTTGGAGCCATCATTCTTTTTTTTTTTTTTTTTTTTTTTTTTTTTTGGTTTTTCGAGACAGGGTTTCTCTGTGTAGCTTTGCGCCTTTCCTGGTACTCGTTTTGGAGACCAGGCTGGCCTCGAACTCACAGAGATCCGCCTGGCTCTGCCTCCCGAGTGCTGGGATTAAAGGCGTGCGCCACCACCGCCCGGCTGGAGCCATCATTCTTAACTATCTGTCACCTGACTGTCTACAGTTGCGATGGCGAAAAACTAACATTTAATAAATACAAAATTGCCCTGGTTTCAAAAAGACATCTTAAGGTAATTTTGCATAAGCACTAAAGTCTGTGTCGGTGCCTGTGTGTGTCCATGTAGAGCCAGTGTGTATGTATGTGTGTGTTGGATGTTTATGGGTTTGTGTGTATGTGTGTGTGTGTGTGTGTGTGTGTGTGTGTGTGTGTGTGTGTGTGTGCATAGGTCCATGCGAAGGCCAGAAGTCATAAATAACTGTTCCTGTGAGGACATACTACACACATGTTCACTTACTCCAGAAAGGCAACCCAGGATAAAGCAAAGGAATGACTGCATCAAAGTCCAATTTGGTGGACTAGTGAGTTTTCATTGTGGTTACTTACAGGACTGTGGGTGAGAAGTTACTCACAGGATGACTCAGAAGCCACTGCATCACAGAAAAGCCTGTCCCAATGCAAGTCACAACCCAGGAAGGCTACATCAATGGAACTCTCTGCACACTTTGCAAGCCGCTTGACACATTGAAGAAATTTCTTCCCCACGGCTTGGTTGGTCACAGTCCCTTCCCCAGACCTCTGTTTAATGGTGCTATCACGCTGGAGAAGGAATGGGGATCTTCTACGTTTCACCTTTCCCAAGGGAAGTGTAAACTTGATTTACCTTTTGGGTTTTACGAGCCCCAAGCTCTACCCTGAATGTGAATGTTTCAGTTCAGAGGGAACTGCTATACTACAGGCACTGTGTGGTCACCCTCTGCCTAAGTTATTTATTTATGAGAGAAAGTCTCTTGCTGTGTGTGCCTGGTGCTCACTTCTCCAGCTAAACTGGCTGGCCACAGAGCTCTGGGAAAATCTGCTGCCTTGGCTCCCCCGGCACTGAGGTGGCATTCGCTGCCTCACCTGTGTTTCTCCACCTGTCCTGAGGAGCTGAACTCAAGTCCTCATGTTCGTTCACGCAGCCAGGGCTCTGCAGACTGGTGCCACCACAGTGTGCATGTGGAGGTCAGAGGACAATTCGCTGGAGTCTCTTTTTTTTCCCTACCAGGAAGGTCTTGGGGATCAACTCAGGTCTTCAGGCTTGGTGGCATATCCCCTGAGTCATCTCTCTTGTCCAAGATTCAACTTCTAACAAGCTGCTGGCATAGGTTTTGGTAATCTTTGGTGTGGTAGTGACTGTGGGCTGAGTAGCAGAGGTCCCCTTGGCCAGCCTTTCAGGGGTTCAGACTGGAGACACGGCCTCCACTCCCACACCTAGACTACTGTGCTCCACACTTTCTTTCCAGTATTTTCCTGACAGGAAAATATTGACCATGAATGCTTCAGGGAAGTTCGATGAATTGTTTCTTTCCTTTGTTCTTAGAAACCCTTCCCAAGTATTTCCCACTCTCCCCTCCTGGGGAAAAAATGGTGGTTAAATTCTCAATGAACAGAGATCTCCTGGGCCTCCCAAGCATCACACTCACATCCTTCTGAAAGGTACTTGTTGCTATAGTGGCTTTTGTAGTTTGAAAAGCACTACAAATAAGCTTATATTATTTTAGAATTATGCTTGTAAAAGATTACTTTTCAAGATTTGCTATTTCTGTACCCAGTGCTTGACTCTTAAAAAAAAAAAAAAAAGATACTCTGTAAGCAGATGGCTTAAATTGAGCTTTGTAAAGCTGTCTTTCCTTCGTTAAAATAGAAACATTCCTTTTAATGACTAGGGGTAAAATATAGATAGAAAATTTAGAAGACATTAGGAACCTTTATTTCCTCCCTCCCTCCTGCCCCCACTCTTGGCAAAGCAGTTTAATTAGGAACCAATCTTCGCCATGAAACATCTGACAGTTACCATAGTATGATATCTGCCGTCATGGCAACACCACCAGTTGGTTGCCACATTTTGAGCTATTACATTACTACGAAAAGATCGATTTTTTTTTACATGAATTTAAAAGACGAAACAAAACATATTCCCCCCCCCCCCCCCCCCCCAAGCAATCCACAACTTAAGGAAAGTTGCTCTGCAGGGGCTGAGCATGAGAACTTTGAAATCCTGGCAGGGAAAAAGAAAGCTCTAGCGCCCAGCGTCTCCGGTTGCACCCACCAGGCCGCCGCTCTTGCAGTCTGTGCGCGCGGGGGGGCGCGCACGCGACTGAAAGTGTCCGAGGGCGCGCGTGTGAGATGGTGCACGCGGCCGTGTGCGTGTGCGTCCTCCGGCCCGCAGCCCCTGACCCGCTGCGCCGGGCTGCCGGGGCTCCAGGCTCGGGCTTCCCCCGCGCGGGGGCGGGCGCGGCGGGGAGCCCGGAGGAGCAGCTAGGACAGGGCCCTGGGTGCGCGCCCCGGGGCCGCCGTGGGCATCATTTTCTGCTCGGCTCGGGACAGGCACATAAAAGGGAAGGCGGCAGGGCCGTGGCTGTCCCGGTTCCCTCAGATGCCCCGGCCGCAGGTTTATTATTACAGTAGGGCTGCACCGCCTCTCCCCTGGCGGGCCGCCTCCGCGCCTGGCACGCCCCCAAACCGCCGCCTCCGCCTCCTTATTTGTCTGCAAAGCCGCCGCGCGGCCAGGCGGAGAACCCGCCGGAGTGTGCGCTGCGCTCCCGGGGCGGCTCGGCGCGGTTTTTCCACCCCCCCCCTCCAACCCCCCCCACCCCCACCCCCTCGAGGGCCCAGTGCCCTACGGCGGCGACGGCGCGGGTGCGGGGGCCGGGGAGCGCGCGCGGGTTGGCCGCGCGCCCACGGGGCCGCGAGCCGCCGATTCCTGCCGAGTAAGCAGTCTGGCTCCGCGGTGGCAGCAAGGCTGGGGCGCTGGCCGCGTGCCAGCTCCATCAGAATTAGCTCATTGTTCACTAGTACACTAGCAGGAGAGAGGGGAGGAGGTGGGAGGAGAAGGGGGGGAGAGAGAGAGAGAGAGAGAGAGAGAGAGAGAGAGAGAGAGAGAGAGAGAGAGAGAGAGAGAGAGAGAGAGAGAGAGAGAGAGAGAGAGAGAGAGTTGAGATTGAGAGATTGGTTTAGAGGAACAGAGAGACACAAGACACACACACTTGGAGAGAGCGCGCAAGGCAGGGATCCCTTCCCCTCCTTTTCCGAGGCTGCACTTCTTGGAAGTGGAGCGGGTTGGGGTTTGGTTTCCCTTCCCCCTCCGCCCTCTTCTTCCTCCACCCCTTTCCCCTCCCCCTCCCTCAGCTGTCTTTCTAGCATGATGCCCTTTTTCATCCACATTTGTGTTTCAGGTGTAGAGAGGAGAGAGAGTGAACAGGGAGCGGGGCTTTTGTCTGTAAGTATATGCCTTTCTCATCCCCAGCTGGGAGCGCTGCTTTCTCTTTTGTGTCCATTCCTTGCCTTTGCTCTAAACTGGACCCTTCAACCTTGCAGAGTTCATGCTTTCTCCCTCCGAATTTTAGAGCTAAAGCTGACACCTTGGAGAAATTATGTCATTTTGCTCCTGCTGCATTAAGGCTGGAATTTAACTCGACCCCCCCCCTCCTTTGTTTAACGCACAAGTTGAGAGAAATGAATTCTTTTGTGAAGGGGTGGGGTTTTGCTTGCTGGTGTGGTTAATTTTGTTCTTGCTCATTGTTAGGAGCTGTTTTGTTCCTTTGCATTAAATGCACTTTGGTGCATGCAAGCTTCCCCCTCCCTGTATAAAATCCTTACACTTGATTACTCTTTCAATGTTGCTGCTGCGGCGGTGGGTCTTTTCATGTTTTCGCTGTTGAAACACTTTTCTCTGTATTTTCTTATAAAGCAGTTGAACTTGGGGTTCGGGAGTATTAAAAAAATAAATGACTACTTTTTCTTGGTGTTGCTAATAACCTGATTTGCATTTATGTTTCTATAACAACATTATAGGAAAACTCTAGGTGCCTCTGATGCCCCGTTTGGAGAACTTTTAGTTTTTCCATTCATCTTAATTTTGCCATAACTCACATTAACAAAAGAGTTATGCTCTAATGGAAAAAGATAGAGGGTGAACCACTGAAGCATGTACGTGAATGTTTATTTGGTTTCCGGAGAAGGGCATAATGGTGTATATTCCTGACTTTCTCCTCGTGTAGTTTTTTTTTTTTTTTAAAAAAAACACGGAAGGTTATGTAATGCAGTGCCATTTCCAAAAATATCCACTCTGAGGCATTACACTACGGTGGAAGGCTGATTCTTCTTCTCTCGTCTTGATTGCAAATATACTGCCAGTAGTATGTCTGGGAACAAAGAGCAGCCAGAAAACAATCTTATTTTTATCACTTGGGTCTACTTTTAAGTTGCTAAACCTTTTGAACTGCAATTTAAAGATGAACCAGACACTAGGAATAGCCCAGGAACGCAGAGCCAGGTGCCAGGGATTCCTTTGTCCCCTATGTAAACCTGTAGACCACTTGGAAAGCTCTTCCAGAGGCTCCGGTGGTTAGAATAATTTGCATGGAACTCATCTTCAGCACACAAAGTAGTTATTTGTCTGTGACCTCCGAGGAGACATTTTTGCATTTACTGACCTGTGGTGAAGCAATGTGTCTACTGTATTTAAAACATATTTTGCAGGTTGGTCTCCCTGGACTGAAGAAAGGGGGAACAGGAGCCCGAGACTACTAAGATTCTCAAAATGGTAAGAAGCGGTCACCAGAAGAAATTCTCAGTAGCTCCTTATCAGTGATTACATATAAGTATCAGCCACCCGCCTTCATGCAGCCTGCCTCTCTATTGTTCCTATCCCATCTGACCTTTAAAAGGTTCTGTCTCCAGTGGGTGAGTGCTTTGCAGTACAGCAGTCTATATGAATCGGATGTGGTGAATTAGATTTATTGACTTGCAGTCATTTTGAATAGAAAACTGAAATTCTGATTTTCAGAGCAAGGATGTTTTAACTCAAACAGCAGGAACTGTTTTGTTCTTTAAGCAGATTGACATGCTGTGACATACATGAAGGGGAATGGCAGATGTGCTTAAACAAAGCAGTGGGTCTTCTATTACAGATAGCCAGAACTTATCCAAAAACTGAGTCTGTGTCTAAGTAACAAGGTATGGTATATGCTGTCCTTAACAGCAGTAGATAAGATCATTTTAATGAATATATCATGTATTGTTATTCAAATATATATGCATTTTTTCCTACTTATAACTTCCTTTAAAGAGACATTTCAGTTTTAGAGGGCAGACATATTAACCTATAAAGTGAAATATAGTGGTTTCTCACAAGGAGTGTAATCCACAGAGAGGGTAGTTAAATTTCTGATTAAATCAAGCACCATAGGAAATACACATCAAAAGCAGCTGAATACATATGTTCAACTTCTGTGGGGAGAAAAAAAAAACATTCTGCAGCTTTCTGTGCAGCATGCCTCCTGAAAATGTTGATGGTCCTCAACGCACTTATTCCCTGCTTAAAGTGTGTGCCTGCCTAATTTACTTATTTTTTTCTTTTCTTTTTTTTTCTCTATTAAATGAGGGTGGAATTTAGTGAATTAAAATTGGATCTGATATACTTCGTGTTTTCTTTGAGAACAACCAAGAATTAGCTTCCAAGGAGAAAGATGAATCAGAGGCAGTTAAATGAGTTCAGATTGGCTTTCATTAAGAAGCAAGCTTTTTCATTTTTTTTTTTTTAACCTGTGCCTTGCCTGGCATTTCAACAAGTGGGTGTCAAAGCCATGAGCAAAGTAGGTTTTGCTTGGACTGGTTTGCTAACGATGAAATTAAAGAATTGGGGCAGAAAGACAAAAGAGGTGAACAGAGAATCAAAGTAATCAATGAACTCCTTGCAAGCCCTTACCTTCAGGTTACCTTCCCAGTCAGCCATTTTTGCAAAGTAGTAAGTAAGCTCTTGGTGGAGTGGAGTTTTCATTACAAAGTGGTTCTTTTCCTGGAGTGGACACATGGCTTGCTGGGCCCTGTTCTAGAGCCCTGCTCACTGCATCACCCTAGGTAGACCACAAGGGCTGTATGTTGCAATGTTTCAAGTGACAGTCGTAGTTAAACATAAATGGGACCCTTGAACCCTGCCAAATCCAGGCCTATAGATCAAGGTCAAAGCCAAGCACCATGCTTCTGTAGTTGGGGGTGGAGTGTGCTTTGTGGAAGGCAGACATGCATGCCAAGCTGAGAATGAAAGTTGGAACCATTCAAAGGCAGAAAAGCAAGGACAAATTAATATTAAATGCTAATTTCCCTCACTTGTCCATGACGTGTGGTGGCAGGGTGGACGGTCGCACTTTGTTTCTCTTGGGAGGATTTTTACTCATTAAAAAAAAAGAATATTCTCACAACTTTTCGATGCTCCTTTCATCAAGATGTCAGTCCCTTCTGGCACAAGCCCATTGCTTGAAATAAAACCACCGGCAGTTATTGTCTGAGGGTGATTCCAAGTCACTTTCTAGAAATTCTTGTATCTGGAAAGCCTGAGCGCTGAAAAATCCTTGTGTATAGTAATGTAAAAGAAAAAAAAAGTTTCAAATATATATTTTTTAAACCTGATACTAGAGATATCTTCAACCTCTTTCTTGTTAGCAAAATGAAGTTCATTTCCTTTCTTTGATTAAAACTGGGACTACTTTATAGAACTCTGTAACTAGTTTACTTAAAGATTTGGCTCACATACGGTAGAAATTACTTACAGGAAGCAGGGTGTTTAACTGCTGGCCATCTCTGGAATATATATAAGCATTGCTTTTTCTCTTAAACATACCTTTTGATCTACATAGTATAAAACACTACAGAGAATCCAATTTCCATATATTATAAAAGGTCGTTTCAAACACAGATTTATAAACTATTCAGGCCAATGTAAGAAATTAGTAAACTCTGGAATTCTACAGGTTGTGATTGAATATCTGGTCTTTTTACACTAAGGTGGTAGGGTGCACTGGTTAGTCTTTGTCATCTTGACACAAACTAGAACAACCTGGGAAGAGGGACACCCCCCGCCCCCGTAATTGAGGAATAGCCTCAATCTTATTGGCCTGTGGGCATGTCTGTGGGTTGTTTTTTCTTGACTAATGATAGATGTGGGAGGGCCCAGTCCACTGTGGGTAGTGTCACCCCAGGCAAGTGGTCCTGGGTTGTATAAAAAAGCAGGGTAAGCAAGTTGTGAGGAGCAATTCAGTAAGCAGTGGTCTTCCATGGCCTCTGCTTCAGTTCCTGCCTCCGGGTTCCAATCTTGGCTTCTGCCGCAGCTTCCCTCAACGATGGACTATCACTTCTAGGCCAAATGAACCCTTTCCTCCCCAGGTTGTTTTAGGTCAATAATATTATTCCAGCATCAGAAACCGAACTAGAACTTAGGGTTCCACAGTAGTAAATTGGAGGCATGCAGGATTCATAGAGTGCTGTTTGCATTATTAAAATAAATGATAAATATATACAATGATATACATGTCTGTCTTCAACTCTGTGCCCCCTTTCACAGCACATGTTGTGCCTGGGCCTCTGAGTACAGCCACAGAGGGTGCCAATCATGTGATGGTGTTGGAGGTGATGCCTGAGGTGGTAACAACCCAAGAATACTGTTAAATTGTTGTTCTAAGCATAGTTTTCTGCATCTTTATTGACCATAATATTTTTATCAGTGACCCATTCTCCAGCCTTTTCAGTTTTCTAGCAAACATGCCTTTGCCTTTATTGTTTGCGATTTGTAGAGTTTTTCATGCTTTTTAATTATTGGTAGTAGTCTACAGGGATCTTTGGGATTTTTTTTTCACTTTAGAACATAGCTTTTTGCTAAGTTTCTAGACCTCTATTTTATGATGTGTTTTTGATTTGTGCGTTTTGTTTTAAAAGTACTTGACTTGTATATGCCAACAAGGAGAAAACATTTTAGAATATATACTGAAGTTGGTTTGAAAAACCAGATTTTTAATCCACTGCCAAAGTTAAAGTCCTGGTTTAACCCTCTGTGGAGTAAACTTGCTTCCCAGTATGTGTTTGCCACAGACTCCCAGTGGCATAAGAATGGACTTGGAATGTTCTAGCAGAGATCTAGGAACTGGAACAGTTTCAGTTCTCTTTATGGCAGATGCTGGGCTTTAAGAAAGATGGGTTGACTCTGTTGTACTGTTCATGGCGCTCTGCTCCCATACAAGCTGTGAAGGAGCATTCACAGGCTCATGAGAGAACCCCTTCAGCAATTCCCCCATTAACATAAACTTTCTGGTTTATAGAGAAAGGCAAGGCTTGGGAATGGTTAGTCTTACTGGCAGGCAGCCTGTGTCACTGGGTTTGGGATGTAAATTGACAAGTTGCAGCAGCGACTTTTGGTGTTACCTGGGAGGTAATTTTATATGGCGCCATCTTGTCTTTCACCAGACCTTCCATCTTGTCTTTCACCAGACCTTCCTGTGTCCATGAAGGGGAGAATTGGTGATTGTTTGGGGAATTAGGACAGAAGAGATAATCAGTCTCTCTGGGTTTAGGCCCAGCCCAGCTTCCTCTTGCGTTATAGAGATAGCCAGGTTGGAGATGGTACTCGAGTACCTACCACCTTGGGGTAAAAACACCTTGGAATAAATAGCTATTCACTTTAACACTATGTATTTCTTGAAAAGTTAGATATAGGACCGATTACCATAAATACACAAAAGGAATTCACTTCATTTTAAATCTTAAAATAAATTCTTCCAAAATCAGAAAACGGGCTTCTACAATATAAATATTTTGCACAGATGAATGAGTAATTCCCAAATAAGAATTTTGAATATTTAAATATTCATTTACCTGGTCATTAAAAGTCCTTGAGTGCATTCAGATGCCTTGAAAGGGGGCGCTGGAGTGTCCTGGATCCCAGGCTTTCTCATTAGTGCTGTTCATGGCTGGGAAGTCTTCGGACCATATCCTTACAGCTTCAGTGACACGCAAGACTGAAATAATTATCTGAATAACCACGCTTTAAAAAGCCTTTGATTTCATCTGATTCATCTTGGTAATTCAAATGATGCTGCAGTGATGTAGTAGTGGAAGGATATGCTTGCTTTATCTGTATAGTTCTTGTGCTGTGTAAGGAAAGGCTAGGGATAAGGCAGTCTTATCAGCAAATTCAATCCAGATATACAAAGGGGGAAAGATTCGAGTGTGCTTGGACTGCGTTATCTTGTCTGAGGGTATGTTGCAAGAGTCCAACTTTAAACTGCTCTTCTGGCTTGAACTAGAAAACAGCTTAGCACTGGGTCTAAATTTATCCAAAACAGATATTTGGGGACGTTTTTTATCCTTGAGAGAGTGTCAATAATATTTCATCTCATTGGCTGGAAAAAAATCACAGTGCTTCTGTCTAGTGTGTCCTAAGTATTATCAGCCAGCCCTGTTAGTTTGTGACTTAAGCATTTAAATTTCTCTCCACAAAATTCTCACTATCACCCCATTCATGAGTAGCAAAGACACGCTACTAACCCCGATGATATAACTTGTTAGTAGTTCATAAGCTTTTTTCATATTGCCCAATTGATTATAGGCCCACAGAGGAATTCTCTACTTCCAATTTCATGCTTAGAAGTTAGTAAATATGTAATAGAAGCTTAATAAATATTTTGTGTGTGCATGCTAATATCTACTAAGTTGGATGTTTTACAATTTAGCTCTAATGAGTCACCATGATTAGTTTTGGTGAAGTAGAGGTAA